ATATATGGTATGCCACAGCACTTAGGCCATATTAGGCCCATTGTGCGCCTCCACAAGAGAAGAGGTAATCCAGCCTAGCGATTCCACGTATGCGGGGTCTAGTTTTAGACTTATAATAGCCCTTATGTTCCCAGACAATAGCCCCATAGGTAAGCATAGGCATAGGATGGTTGTATAGATCCACATAACTACCTTGGGGGAGAACCCCCATGTTTTACCGTTAGTACGTCTACACTGTTCATAGGCGATATATGCTTTCTGTATTCTCTTAGCATTATGAGGGCTCCATGTTAGTTTGCAATCGAGTGTCACTCCCAGATATTTGACCTCGGCGGCAAAACTTATTTCGATGTTTAAGAGTCTGGGTGCTGTCGGAAGTACCAGTTTCCTCTTTCTTGATGTGAATAGCACCATTTCAGTCTTTTTGGGGTTGATGGACGAGTGTATTCTTTGCACCATCTTTCTATAATTCGAAGAGCATGTTGCATGCGTTCGCAAAGCGAGTTCTCGAATTTACCTCTATGCAAGATGACTACGTCATCTGCGTAAGCTATTGTGTAGTGGTTCTCATTGTTAAAGCGGACAATGAGGTTTTCCAGAACCATGTTCCACAATCCACAGGAGAGGTGATAGCACGCCTCCCTGCGGGCAACCTCTTTGTGACCATCCCTTCAATGTTGACGTCCTATAACACACTTATCTGTACAATTCTTTTGGAAAGCATATTGAATATCCATCCGGTAACAGTTTCCGGAGTATTCTTTTCTATTAGCGAGTTGCTAATTTTTTGGAAGGTGGTTTTGTCAAAGGCCCCCTCAATGTCGAGGGCGTACTCTCTGTTGTCCAGTGATTTTTCCACTCGCCCAGCAACCAGGTGGAGGGCTGTGTCCGTTGATCTACCGGGAGTAAATGCATGTTGATTAGGGTGGAGTGAATTGGTTGACAACACTTCATCCCTTCCACTTCATCCAGTTTTTAGAGAAAATGATGGGAGGCTTATGGGGTGATATGCCTTGGGGGTGGTGTAATCCTCCCTGGTTTGGGTAAGGATACCACTTTAACTTTTCTCCAAGCCTCGAGTATGTACACTTGGCCAAACATAAAACTGGTATAGGCAAAATATATATTTTGAATTTGCCTAGTGTGAGTCAGGCTTAACAACAAAAAGTCTCTTCTGAAAAACATAGGCTAGACAGTTTTTGTTAATTTTAAAGCTGAACAAAAGTAAATGCAACATGGTTTTATGTTATGATTGGTTTAAATATGACACTGACTTGACTCTTTTTGTCATTGTTGAGGTGATAAAAAAGGTCGATTTACACAATACAGCACAATAGGAAAATGGGTACCAGTTTTATGTTTGGCCAAGTGTATCTCAGCGCCAAGGACGCCCTGAACATTCCTACCATGTGCGGCAAGAGTAGCTTCAGACCCCACTGAAGTAGGGCTGGATAGATGCCGTCAGGTTCTGGTGCTTTGAAGGCGGAGAAGCCTGAAATTGCCTAACCTATTTTTTCCGAATATTATCTGATTCGCTAGTTGCCAATCAGCCATAGAGGGTATGTATGTTACCTGCGTCTGATCCTCCACAATTGTGGTTGTGGAGTCAGGAAAGTGGGTTGCTAGTAGTACCTCTGTGCTTTCTTGAAGGTTGGCAGTGAAGGTGCCATCCTCCTTGCACAGGATATTAATTTCCCGAAATGGGTCTTTTTTTTAAGAGCTTTCTGAATTCTCGCCGCTTCCGTATAGTTTTCTATTTCTTTGCGGTATGTCCTCCAGGCATCTCTTTGTTTTTGTCGTATGAATTTTTTATACTGGTTGAAGGCTCCAATCCTCAGGTGGTTTAGCTTTATTTTGAGCTTTTCTTGTCGTCGCCCTGAGGTGTTCCAGTTCTTGACACCACCAAGCAGAGGTGTTACCAGAGTTTTGAAACATCCTCAGTGGGCTCGACATCTTATAGGATTTTATAATGGCATCTTGGATGGTATTGGCATACGGCTCCAATTCTTGGTCATCATTGGGTGTTTTAACTGCAAGCTTTTTTTTTGGGTCACGATAAGGTCTTGTGGTTTTAGGCGAGCAGTTTAATGTGAAAGTTATCCATCGGTGATCCGACATAGAAACTTCATAAGATACGCGCCAATTATAGACTCAATTTGATATTAATACTGAGCATAGTGTTATATCTATTCCAATTTGACTACGGAGAGTTTAAGAAAGTTGGTATTGTGCCGTTATTGCATATAAACAGATCATTACCTATTATAAAGTCATGCAGAGCTGGCCCATGTCCAATTTTTATCAAAATGTTTCAGACAGGACATGACTCTTTCTGAAATGCTGTTCTAAAATACAAATTTATTAAACTCAAAAATAAATCTTTAACATTTCCTTATTTTCACATCAAACTAGAAATTTATGAAAAATTCATGACCGTTTTTACGTGCTCGGCTGTTGCATATGCCTGATACCAACGGCAAACGGAAAAATTACATTTTAAGCACAAACCAATGCCGACTGCGAGTTTTTAAACTTTCAAGACACCTAAGCTAAGATGTTTGTACATTCTAGTGAGAACGAAGGTTTATCATTAATATTTATACGAACGACTTTGGAGGCGACTCAAAGTAATAATAAAATTCGGTCCAATTGCCGGATCATTTAAAAATTTATTTGAATTTTTACACAGCAAAAATATATTTCTTTAAAGAGAGACATTCATTGAGTAACGCGAAACTATATTATATACCGAGTGGGGCGCGAAAAACTTTCCACCCAGGTTTTCTCAGGTGTTAGGTGTTTAATCAAAAATCGCTCAGACACGTCAATTTTTGTTTTTTGGGGGACACATTTTATTGGTATTTTCACCCCCTACCTGTGAACCCCTAAGTGGGGGTTACAGGTACCCCCAAAATTTCAAATGGAAAGAGGGGTCGAGTGATATGTCATTTGGTAGCTATTTTCATTGATATTATATCCCCGAAGTTTCAAGTTGCTACTATTAACCCTGCCGAAATGGCGGCATGTCAAAGTTAGGATAAATGCTTTTTTTCGATAATCTAAGCTGTATAGTTTTTACCTGTCACACCTATGCGTAGGTAGTAGGTAAAAAACCACACAGCATTTTTCCATTGATTTTTCCTAACTTTGACAAGCCGCCATTTCGACAGGGTAAATAGTAACGACTTGAAACTTCGGGGATATAATCTTAATGAAAATAGCTATCAAATGACGTTATCACTCGACCCCCCTTTTCATTTGAAATTTTGTGGGTACCTGTCACCCCCACTTAGGGGTTCACAGGTACGGGGTGAAAATACCAATAAAATGTGTCCCCCAAAAAACAAAAATTGACGTGTCTGAACGATTTTTGATTAAACACCTAACACCTGAGAAAACCTGGGTGGAAAGTTTTTCGTGCCCCACCCGGTATAGGTATCTTTAAATAATGATAAACTGTAATGAACAAAATAGTATAAATTTTCCTAACCAAAATAGCAAATATATCTATACTAGTTGGGTCTCTATAGAAATAATAAAGGGCCCTAAGCCTGTCGGAATACATTCAGTAATCCGGAAATAATAAAGTTTCATCTTACAAGACCCTTGTTTGGAATAATTCAGGACTCTTTTCAATTTATTCAATTGGGACTAAAGAGAGGAACTTAAAAATTAGCATCCTATTTTAATACCATCCCTACGCCTTTTAAGGACATAATTACCGAAGATTTGTGAGCATCATTACAGGGTCGTCCAACTCGGCACTAATTTGGGTGTCTGACGGAAAGGTCAACCGAACTGAATTCACTTAATTAACACGATTTTTTTTAAGCTAATTGGAATTAACACAGAGTCATAGCATAATTATGTTTCCTTTACCTATGATAAAAAAATTAAGGTTGGTACACGGTTCAGTTTCATTTGAGTTTTTTTCGCGGTTGGTGAGGATCGGGATTGGGTATTTCCAATGTAGCAGACAGATACTCAATATTCGATAAAATAATATAAGTAGTATAAAATAGCCGGTTCGGTACCACAGGACTCTCGTGAGTCCAAGAGAGAGAAAGCACGATTTCATCAGTTATGTTCGCCGTCTATCATCATTGTTACTATCTCTCGTGCGTCATCCGCGCCATTTATCATCAAATAATTTTCCATTCACACTTTCTACACCTAAATAGTTCTGACTAAGTTGAAGCTGTTAAAGTATATCAACAGACTTTCTGAAGATGGTGACAATACGGAATCTATCTCAGTAGAGCCTTGGGCGCCCTTATAATAGCGATAAAAGCTCGGAAACCCCTCAGGCAGACAAAATGATCAACAATAAATAAGAAATAGTTACCAAGTAGCTTTAAATGATACATCGAACTTCATAGATATTCGGCCATGGCTAGAAATTCGAGATATTCTGAATGAACAACGAGCAGTCAAACGTTGGACCAGCATTTCTGCCTACGTCATCCCTCTAACTAAAATCTAAAGCATTCGCCAACAATTAGGGCAAGAGCTTGATATCATTGGACTATCCTATCGTTTTTTTTTTTTTTAATTTATTCAGGTACAGAGGTACTACAAATTATGATGCGGTTGCATCATTATCCCTGATCGGAGCACGGAATTTTTCGTGTACTGACAACATTCAACAGAAGTGAATTCGTGAATAAATACAGAAAAATTTAAAAATTTTATGGGTGCCTATTGGATATCAGAAAATCCGTGCAGTTTTTAGCGACGAGTAAATTCCATCAGTTGAAACGACTATTAAACTAATGCCTAAATGTAGTTGGTCTAGGCAATATTTCACTTAAATGCAAGCTCATGGCATTTTCCAGTTGAGCAAAACGGAAAGAAAATAGATTAGAAAGAAAAATTTATGCATTTTCGTATGAGGTCGGAAACTTGCGACCAGTAGTATTTCAGACTGTTCAGTTGTATATTGGTTTCTTGATACATAATTGAAATGGTATTAAAACAAAATTGTTTTGTTTTTATTCCAGGCATTTACTGCAGACTATACTGTTACGCTCAAAAACACGTTAAAAGCATCAGAGCGATCACAAGACCAATTGACATTCCTAACTCTACATCAAAAAAGAAAACTATCAAACAGAAAAATAAGGCGCTTCACATTCACCTTCACAACCATCAGAGTTCACCATATCATGTCAGTGATCATAAGGCAGCTATCACTGTTGGGATTATTATGGGAGTATTTTTGATTTGCTGGGTAAGTAATACAAAAATTTAAACTAAATGCACGCTAGAAAACAGCACATACTGAGCGAAAAACAGAGCATCAACATTTTCGAAATCTCATTTCAGGTTCCATTCTTCTGCATCAACATTGTGGCAGCTTTCTGTAAAACCTGCATCCCAGATATAACCTTCAAGATTCTCACTTGGCTAGGTTATTCAAACTCAGCTTTCAATCCAATTATCTACTCGATCTTCAACACCGAATTCCGAGAAGCTTTCAAACGTATACTTACAGCCCGGTACCCGGAGTGGTGTAAGTGTGGTTACCAATCAGTATCATTAAATACTGATAAGTACGTAACAGACTATGGCCCTACCAAAACCCTAGTAGTTAACGCTAGAAGAAATGGTTCATTCGGTGAGTTTTCTAGTGAACATTTGAGCTGCGACTCTGTCAGGCAAACACGAGTTAATTCGGCAGCTGATGTACTTGGGGATGAGATCAATGATATTTGACATCAGGACTATGATCATCTTCAAGACACCATGGTGTAAAGGGATGAGTAAAATTGATTTCTTATGACTGATTTTCAGCTCGAATAGTTTTAACTTGAGAGAAAAACTATCCACATTTTATTTTTGAAATTAGTACCTACCTTAACGATACAAAATTAAGTATGCTAAAAATCCAATACAAAAAAATATGTGCCCACACAAAATAAACTGGAAACCAACAACGAAAATCTAATATAAGCAGTTTTATTTTCACTACCAGTTGTGCGAAATTCTCAACTTTCTTTTCAAGTTAAAATTGATTCAGTATTTTAATAGATAGTTGTTAGTGTAAAAAGATAATATTTTCTCTCTACGTTGTAAATTCTGAAATTTTGAAGAGTAGGTAGTAAGTATTTAAGCATTTATTATATGTATAGTGAATAAGGTTTCATCCTTTTACTAACCCAATTACGCTTTCTGGGCGCAAAAATATATTGTGGTGGCAAACAATTTGCTAGCTCAATCATGGTTAATAATTTAGAGCTTTTGAGTTTGGACTTTTGTTGCTAATATGCAGATTTCTGGAAAAAGATAATTACCACGGAAATTAATTGATAATCTATTATAGAATAATCTGAAAGCAGGTAAGCAGTTATTCAGTGATTTATTTTGGAAACTTCCGTTAATTCACGATTTGATTCGTTATACCTATGTCTTTTGCTCTTGAAGGATGAAAAGATGATATTATCGAATGTAGAGAATGAAGGAGATAGTGGGATTAGTTTAATACACTGTAATGCGGTTTTACCTTTATAAGATTTAGGGGCTGTGTTATTACGCATAATCCAGAAAACAGTTTAAAGCAATTTCATTGAAAATTTTGTCTGACCCTTGCAAGTGAGTGTTAAGGAAATGCAAACTGTGGATCTCAACGGCATGTTCTATCGCAGAGACCAGAGTTTTTGAAAAAAAAATATGTTTTTTCCTGAAGAAATTTTTATTTGGAAGCAAATGTTATCCTGTTCCAGCGTTAACCTACTGCTGGAAGTAATTAAGTATGGCTTTTCTAACTCTTGTCGACCATTCCAACAATAAAAAACATTTTTCATAAAACTCACATGACTGAGCTGAAGTTGAATTTATGTAGACATCAAAGGTGAATGTACACGGAAGTTAGGATCGTAGGTATCAAAACGACCGAGTCGACGTCTGAGTGGAACAAATACCCATTCCACTTAGTCCTATGTTAGCTTGATAAATATAAAAAGGTCTGCGTTCATATACAGGGTGTATCAGGTTTGACTACAAAAATTTTAACACATGAAAATATGGCCCATTTTGAACAAAAAAAGTTTATACAACATGGGGTCCAAACTCAACCATTTTTAAGAAAAAGGCCTTCCAAGTTTTAACATTTTTTGACGAATATTTTAAAGTTAAAGAAAATTTTAATCATTATGAGATGTAGAAAAATTTAGTTTATCCAATTTTTAAGTAATTAGCATTTTTAGTCAACAACAATAACAAAAAATCGGAAAAACAACATACAAATTTCACTTGTAAAAGGGTATCTTAACATCTGGCAACACAGCACAATAAAGAAAAGGTGGTCGAAGGTTGAAGCTTGGTGGAGCTGAATAAATTGATTCTTGATTTGTCTTTTCTAGACGGGAAACGCGCAAATTCATTCTTTTTTGAAAATAAAATGTTTAGAAACATCGAATATGCAGATACTTGTTTAGACAGAATCGTTGCAAAATGCTCATTCAGCCACCAGAATTCACAGTGAAACTAGGGAAAGATTTTCCAAAAGAAAAGCACTCACCTGATGGAAGAACATTGTGCCCGTGTTACAAAGATTGCGTGATACAAGAAGTGTGAGTTGTGAGTGTGCAAAATCTGCGAGTTGATTTTAGTGTTTTGAGAACTTTTCAACAAAAATTAATATTTTTATAATAAGGATTTGACAAGTAGCTGAGTAAGTATTATTTGATTTTTCTCTTGAATGTTTAGTGCAAAAATGTCATTCAATGCAATTCACAACTTAACCCTCGGGAGGGCGCGCTATCGGCCTTTTATGCCGCCTTTTCACTAGTTCAAGGATTCCGCAAATATTGTGGATTTTATCATATTGTCTGTCTAGCTATGTTCAAATGACTATATTAGAAAACCTACTACGCACAATTTACGACCTTAGAGTGCTTGTTCAGATATCCGTTAGCTCTTGAACTTGCAGTTGTTGAGTTTTCGGCATTCCGTGCCGCCAGCGCGCCTGGTCATGTTAGTAAAATTGCAAGGGGAATAGTACAAATATTATGAATATTATTTCTGTATTTTTGCGAAATTAGTATAAAGGATTTCATCTAGTTGCTTAGAATTACAATTTATTTTATTTTTTTACTCTATTTAAGAATAAATTTTGACGTTTTGAATTATTTCGTATGTTTTTCTTCTGGCGGCACGCAGTGCCGCAGCGCGCCCGCTGATGTGATTTTCAAATGGGCGCCTGCCCTAGGGTTAATAAAATGGCACATTTTTTATTTTTACTAAAAAAGTGATAAAAATGCAAGCTGTTATTTACATTATTTGAAAGCCAATAACAAACCAAAACGTAAACAGATCGAAATAAATTAACGCCGTGCAAAAAAAAGTTTCAAATTTACCAGTTTTATTTACATTTATATCGTGGCAGAGATAAATACCTGTACAATGTTGTCACGTTGTTGACATTTTCCTAAATTTAAATTCTGCGATAACTCCGAAAACACTAACAATTGACCCATGGTCAATAGGACACTTTTAGCTTGAAATGTTAAAATATTTGTACCCATACCTGATACACCTTGTATAACTAAATTATTTATTAATTACTTTCACTCAAAAGCTTTGGCCCCGAGTTGGATTCGATATACCTACCACGTCGTTGAGTCTTTTTATGATCGTGTACACCCCTTTTCATATTGGTGCTAGCTTCGGGAATCCACATTTCTTTCTGTGAGAATCTCATATCTCGTTTTCATTCGGTCACTTGCAAATTGTACTACTTTATTTGCCCCTGAGATCGCCTTTTACGATGCGCATATTGCACATTGTTGGCACCATGTTTTGACATCCTGTAAAATCCACGAATCTTTGTCACAGATCTCTTTGTCCTGGGCACAATCAATTGCCTTCTGAACATCTGCACTCTCCCAGGTTCATTTCGGTAAACCATTCTCGACCAACATTCGATTAGAAAATCATTTTTGCCATCTGTCTCTCAGCTTCAGCGTCGGATATCCAAATCGGTGTACGACCCACTAAGTAGAGAAACCACTGTCAGTGGAACCCTGTCTCAGTAACGAGAGACGCCTTCAACTCATCGCCAACCATGGTCAAATTAGCGGAAATAGGAGTGTCATTTTTTTTCATTATATTAATATATAATTATTACATTATTATTATCGCAGTTTTCAATTTCGTTCCCACGTTCCCCTTTCTGCTGCTTTTGCTTTGCATATCATCGTTCGTCTGTTTCGATTTTCGTTGTGTTTTGTTCTATTTGTCGCTAAGTCCTGTTCTACCGCCTCTCCCCATTTGTTCATTTTTAAGACCTGTTCTGTCAATATTTTATTGTCGTTTCTCAGAATTAGCCGGAGATCGCCATATTCAGTTATGAGTTGGTTCCTGATCCCTTTCTTCCAGGTTGCAAATCTCCCTTCCATGCTGGGCTTCCTCCATCATGTTTAAATCACATGTGCATGTCCCCTCCATCTTGCGGATCCTAAACCGGTGAATGTATTGCTCGAAGTTGCCGTGGCCTGTCAGCAGTTAGGTCGCCTTGAAGCTGAAGTCGATTCTCTCGTACCCAATGTTCTCATAGTGTTTGTATAGCTCCTTGCCCCGTTTTCCCATGCTCTTTTCCACTTCTCCAACGTCCTGTTTCTTTCGGTTTTACGTTGGACTCTGATGTGTTCCTTTTTTTAGTTGGAATTTTTCTCTTGTTTCATTGTCGATGTTCCCCTGTCAGTTTTAATATTTGTGCGGTTAGCCTGTGATGGATCCATTATTAAGTAAGTCCAGTGTTCGCCCTCCCTCTCTCTTTTGGTTGCTAGCACAAGTGGCAATGGACCACGTGGTTGGAGACTCTTCAACAGCTCCCTCTGCAACAAGTTACTTCACATCTTGTCTTGTAACTAGTTGATGGATTGGTTGAGCTCTACCAGTATTGATTTCATGCTTGATGATGTTGGTCTTATCAGTTTCGTCACATTTACCTTTAAAGATATCCTTCTTCTCACAAAGAAATTGTGAGGCATTTTTTAGATCCGTAGAGAAAAAAAAATGGCCAAGAAGTATGAAATTGTCAAAGAATAACCCTAGATGAGTTTACTTCCTTTCTTCCACTGAATTTCTTCCGCTTCACACTTTGAAATCCCTATGACAATCGCATAGAGGGCGGTTTTCCTAATCAGAATTTTTGATTGTGGGTACAAGTACAACCTAGAGTACAACCGTTAATTTTTATTGTTTGTGTACTTTTTACAGTGACATATTAGTACCAAATTTCAGGATGGG